GCCCACCTCCGAGCAAGAGCGTCAAGAACTCCATCAAAGCTACTAAAACTAGAGCTAACCACATCAACAACGACCCCAAACTTCTCCGCCCCCTTTGCAGTCACCGGTCCATGAGCCGCCACCACCATATCCGGCCATCTCTCTCTCAATGCGCCCCAAGTCCACCCCAACACCTTCAAACCTTTCACCAGGCCCTCCACCTCTGCCGTGCTGGTAAACACAATGGCATCCAAATCTCCATACTTCCCCCGCATTAATTCATCCACGCATCCTAACCCCGCCCACCTTGTCTCGTAAGCAGAAACCCTAACTGGAGCCCAGCCGCGGGCCTCCAACCCTTTCAAAAAGTCCGGCACAACCGATGGCTCCTCCAAATCAATCACATCTGGCACGGGGCAAAGAGCCCTACGGCCAAACCCCTCCCCAATAGCCTCCACGAGGCCCGAAGGCGAAGCGACCTCAGGAGTCAGCACACGAATCCGATTAGGGTTTCGACAGAGCTTGTGGATTAGTCCAATCTCGTCCAGGAGATCGACGTCGCGACCTAGTGCTGAAACAATGAAGGGCTCGTCCGAGTCGACGAGGGGCGTTGGAGCATCCGCTAGGGCTAGGTCGACGGCGGTGATGCCGGTGCGGGAGGTGAAGAGGAGGGAGGAGAAGCGATCGAGGGATTCGGGGGAGAAAAAGCGGCGAAGGGCTGCGATGGTGCGCGGTGTGGGTTCGACGGCGACGGTTGGGATGGGGACGGGTGTGGCAGCGCGGAGATGGAGTAGGCGGGCAAGTCTGGTCGCATAAACCGGAGGAGTAGTGAAGGCGACTCTACAGCCCGTGAGGGGGGTTTGGACAGCGACGACGGGGAGTATGGGCAGCGGCGAGAGCATTGCTGCCGTTGATGGTATCATCGTGGAATTGCTTGATAATTTTTCGTGGTGGCGAGAGAGGCGGAGGGTAACCGCCGGTGTGAGGCGGAGGGCAACAGTTGCAAAGTTCCATAATATAGAAGAGTATAGGGGTCTTTGCAACAGAATCTCTGATTAGGCTGGTGGACAAAGTTATACTCTTCTATATTAATTTGGTTGTTGTTATTGAGCTTTGAGTGAGAACTGCCTGTTGGCCATAACTTTAAATCTCATGAAATTTAGCATTTCATGTTGAAAGAAAGTTATGAAATGAAGTGACTCGCCAAGGTCCAATCTCAGGTTCAATAGAGGTTGATAATTCTTGAACAGTTCACATAATTTGAAGTCAACAAATGAAATAATACTTAATGGGGGAATGCGGGAGAATCACCATAATGAGGTAAAGAGAAGTCTGCACTTCGTTACTTCAATGATGTTTACCCAGAGAAACTGTAGACTCATAGAGATCTTTGTGGTCAGTTGGGTCCAATCTTTCTTTATAATATCCATAGTGAGAGATACATCATCAAAAATCGCTTTGATCAGACATGAATCTTGAAACATATTA